CAGGCCATTTGCCGGCCGAGACTCGACCAAGCCTCTTTATTTCCTGCAGACAGGGTAGGGAACGGTACAGCATTGTTATTACTCCTACAAGTCGCTCGAGGTTACACGAGGTCGCTTCTTTCCACTACTGTAAACTGAAAATGAGCTTAAAAGAGATGATTCCTTGCAACCGGCAGGCATCACTGCACATTCCAGATTTACTTATATGGCATAGAGACTAACCTTTCCAGAGACTTAAATTTAGATCAGTCACAAACTGAAACTCAAAATCTCAGATTAAGGATTGCAACACCAGTGGAAATGTTGTCAGTATACACAAAATTCTTCTAACACGTTCCTCTCCTTGATTACTGAGGTACTCCAGTAAGCACTGATGGGATCACAGCTATCAATTGCCAGCTGCTTGTCCTCCAACCCTTCCACACTTGGGCCCACTTAAAACTGCCTTACCCACCTTTTATCAGTCTTTACTGATGGGTGGACTAAATGAGTTTATGCCTTTCCTGTCTCTGGCTACTATGGTCCCTGCTGTTAGAAGTATTTCAATTGCCAACTGCACTGTAAGCATGTCATCACTGTTCAGAAGGCAGAAGAGCCTTGTGTTCTGTGTTGAATACATCACACTTGAAACCAGAGCCCGATGGTTCAGAGCGAAACATCTGGAAAAAGTTGTTAAGAGTAGTTCCTGTTAATTCCAACCTGTGGGAGAAACACCATATTTAACTTAAAACTTCTTTGTTTCCTGAAAAATGAAAGAAACTTTCAAACTGTAGTAAGTCTTCAAAACCAAAATTCTAAACACTAAAGTACATTACATGAGCTAAAAGCCAAATCCTACTATGACTGTTGCTCTCTTTACTGAAGCCCTGTATTTCTCTTCTTACAGAACTTAATCACACCTTGCAGAATTTACCCTTATCGAACACTTAGAGGAAAAAGAACAAGCTGTCAAGATAGATAAGCAATTGCAAGAAACAGCAAGCAATGTGAAAGGATGCAGAAGTACCTCATGACAAGGGAACATAAAAAATTTCCTGCCATAATGAAGACAGTTAGAACAGGAAAAAATAATAGCAGAACAATAATAAAAAAAGACCAAGTTTATCACCTGAAACACCTTATTTAGCTGCTTCTGTCATTCATGGTCTTGCAAGTGCCTCAACACTGAGCTTCAAATATGAGCATGCATTAGAGGCAAGAATTAACAAGAATGTGTCATTACTTATGCATCTTTAGACTCCGCTATAATAAATGTGACTCTTTGAAACCAATCTGTCAAAAGTATGCAACATATATCCAAAATAACCAGGAATTAGAGAAAAATCAGTATTTCAAGCAAGCATTGTTCTCCTACAGATCTTCACATGTAGCAGTTCAACCTGTTGTCTCAGTTTAGTTTGAAGAGATCAAGAAATCACTCACAAGATAATACAACAAATTATTGCAGCAGGTGATGCTTAGACTAATCCAAGAACACACTCCAGTTGCTAATAATGTCATGCTGGCAAAGTAGCTGCATTTGCACATTATATGTAGTATTAGATCTTCACATTTAATAAAACATACAGCATGGGGAAAAGCACGGTGCTCTGCAATGATAGTGTCTTGCCGCTGCAATCACCTTTCACATCTTCTAACACTTGGTTCCTTCTGCCACCAGTTACTGCTTGGCATCACTCTGTAAGATGAACTTAACTCTACACAATCCATCACCATCTTTAGACCAATTGCTCTCTTTAAGCAATTATGTAATTTATACTAAATCAGTTTTCAGCTACAGATCACAAAAAGTATTTTACTTATGCAGCTTATTTCAACTGCAATTCATTGCAGCTTAAGTAGTAGTGATAGACATAAGAAGCTTACTGAAAATACTTGTCTTGAGCCTTGACCAAATAATGATAGAGGAAAATTGATGAAAACAGTTTTAAAGAAGTTTGACTTAGTATTTTTTATCTCTTAAATGCAACCAAAATAGCCATTGCTTTCAACTGGTTACCTCAGACCTGAACAGCAGCATCTAGAAAGAGGAATGAAATCACTTCCATAAATATTTCAAGCTTCTTGGCTGTACTCCATTTAAACAAATCCGAACTTTTTCCTTGAAGTCAAGGTTAAGCTAAAAGTACCTTCTCAAATTTGTCCCACAGTTAGTGCTTTTCTCCTCTTAACAAAAATTCTGAATGTGACAATAATAATTTCAAAATTGAATTCTGAACTCTCAATGAGGATATTTATTATAAACAATAATCACAACACTAGAGAAATCTCCCAGATGTCCTGTGGTGCAGTACTCGTAGCTACAGTCTCATAACTCTCACATGGCACAAAATGAACATACATGAAATGTCAAGGAGCAGAGGCACTGCCACCTCTCTGCCTCCCCTGCAACCTGACTGCAAACAGGTCAGCTGGTGCTGACTGCTCGGGCAGCAGCTTCCAAAACCCAGTTCTGCCTCCTTGCAAGAGGGAGAGCCCGAAGAAACACTACAAAACTGAAATCCTGTTTTCCAAGTGGTAAGGAAATGCTTTTAGAAGGAATGACTATGCTTTTGAATGAAGGAATGCTGGCCTGGGAGAAAAAAGAGGAAGGTGTACCACAAGATAAAAAGTCATACCCGTTAGTAACTGCAAAACCAGTTATTCAGCATCTGTTGACTGTCTGTCTAGCAAATACTCAGGAGGTGAGATTCTAAAAAGCAGATTCTGCACTGCTTCCTGCATTTTGTATCAGCTGTTCCTTGGTAACTATATTGTGAAGCAACCCATAAGGACACATCAAAATTAACTGCTGCAAAAAAAGCTATACTTCAGCAGCTAATGAGCACAGCCTAATGTATGCAGATTCTTAACAGCCTGATCAACTGCACCAGCAGGTCATCAGTAAATCACACAGCATCTATTCCACTCTGCAACAGAACAGGGATTTACACAGAGGTGACAACGCTGTGACAACTTAACATTTTATTGCATACTTTGTGTAGAACTGAAGGAGGACAAGTTCATCTAGGTACCAGCCTTAGCGAAAAGCTGATTTACCACAACACTTGTATTCAGTACTCTGAGTTTATCAAGCATAAACAACTGGAAAGTAAGAATTAACATAGACTGCTATTTGATCACTTGCTTAATCCCACAGAAATTCAGGCTGTCACCAAAAAAATGCAAGCTGTCATCTCCATTCCTCAAGCTGACACTAGCACATGAGTGACCAGCCTGACGACAGAGCTCATCAGCCTGAAGGGTTTCTGACAATGAGTTAGTTTTCATTGGGCTCAGCCTCCACTCCCTCTTGTGCAGAGTTAGTACAAGCATTAATTCATTAATTATACAAGATTAAAGACACAATAAGGCAGCAAGAACATGTACCCAGGAGAGGAATGGGACTGCTTGAACCACATCAGCTTAAAGCAGTAATGAAAACTATACCTGTAGTCATGTTTATATTTAACACACTGACTAAAGCAACAGCTCCACTGCCAGTTACAAATTGCAGTGCTGCAAACGACAAAACATTCAGTTGAATCATAGAATGTCAAAGAATGTTGACAAAGTACCTGTTTAGGCCTTTAGGTAGGCTTTGGTCTTCACCTGAGCAGAAATGCAAATTTCAACACATATGAGGAAAGTGTTCCAATTTTTAAATTTTGGTTGATTTTTATTCACTATACATCAGTAGCTGAAGAAGCTACAACTCAGCTGTTTATTGGGAAAGAATATTCCAACACAGTATTTGAACTTCGTCTTAGAAATTATTTTAGAAATTTTTAAGGACAAACCAAGATTAGGACTGTTCATAGATATCAGTTCTGTGCATACCTGAATCTTCCTGTTCCCCCTCACCCACCTATACTTTACCGTCATCTGACAAACACAGAAATAGTTCTTTTGCTTTTGATATGTTACAGGAAATGTTTCCATTTTCACAACCTGAATTGGTAAAGCCATAGAATTAAAACAAAACTCACAAACAATCCAAACAAGCTGTGAAAAAAAGAAGTTTTGACCTCATTTCACCCCTAAGACCTTAGGAAAAAAGTGCAAAAAAAAAAAGTTCTACAATGGCAACAATTTCCGTTATTAAGTCATAATCAGACACCTTTTTAATATGACCTATCGTAACCATCCAGTGTTAACAACTTGACTTCTAGTCAATGTAATAGAGCAGCTCAGAGTAGATAAAATACTTATTTTGAGAAAACATACAAAAATCACAACTCTTATATAAAAAACTCTGTTGTAATTATATACAAAATAATTATCACAGCATTTGGTTCATACAGTGCTGCCATAAATTATGGAATTAACTACTTTATCCAAGAGAGTACTAGAAATGGATGCCTGGGCAACCATCTCAAACTTGTCTGCCTGGGGGACACAGAACAGTTTGTCTGTGTTCACTACCAAGTTGGAACCATAAGGTACGAGACAAGGAAGCTATTAATACAAAGAAAAAAAACTAGCTTCAACAATTCCCTGCACTGTCCCATTAAACCACATGCAGAACACAAATGGCAGCGCCTGCCTCCACGCAAAGTATCTTGTCTGTTCTCTCCCAAAGCTCCTAAGTCAGCAGATGGGTTTTTTGGGACTTAGACGTCCATTTACACACTTACCCATCCCAAATTCCATAAGCGAGAAGCAATGACTTCCTGTTACAACTCACATAAGAGTTTAAACTGGTGTCCTGAAGAAAAGCAAACTGCAGCTTGTGAACTCCCAAGTCACCTAGCTCATTACATATTGCTGTCAACCCACATTTAAATGCAACCGTGTTTCGTAACCAAGAATAACCAAACTAAATCAACAGTTTCAACGGTGCAAAACCTAAAGTACTCATCTGAAATATCTGTTAGCTCTTGGAAAAGTGCCCACAAGCATCACCTGTCTTCATACTTTGGACTCTCTATCTCTGTTTGTCATCCAGCAAATTTTACTCAGAAAAGAGACTGGCTGCAACCATACACCCTCACCCCAGCACTCTGTTGTGGAAAAACTCCTCAGAATCTCTGAGGTTCAAACACAGTCAGTTCTCTCCCATCATAGAACTCTTGCAGTTGGTTTGACTCATATTTTATGGAGGGTTTTTCAATATCCATCCCAGGCTCCAGAGCATTCTGTCCAACTATTTTAAGATTCACAGCTTTTATTTTCCAGGTATTATTCCTAATGGGACAGCGAATGAGTCCAAAAATTTGTTCAAAAATGCCCAAACAAGTGTTATCTCTATGTACTGTACCAGCCACTGCTACCAGCACCAAACCATGTGGAGACATGGCACATTTCAGTCCACTGGGATGCAAATTAGGGTTGAATAGAAGATACTCTTCTTTAACCAGTGAGAGCAGACGAAGGCTCACCATATCTGCGCCAACGTATTGTTCCATGTTTCTTTCTAATGTGTTGTAACAGAACTTCATTTTGGCATCCTCCCAAAAATGCTGTGGTCCCCATTTTTCTTCAGATTTCACTCCCAAAGGATGTTGAGAATTCAAGAGTTCAAAGTACCACTGACAGAATTCTCCTCCTAGATCATGAATGTTATCTTGCAATGACTTTTGTCCCTCTCCACGACTCTGCAATCAAGCAAAATTTTTTTCTTAGAACTATTTAGCCGTAATATGAGATTACTACTAAAACAACATAAAATCTTGCATATACTTATTTTAAACACACTAAATATTCTTCAAGTGTTCTGAGACAGAGTGCCTGAAGAGAAACATCAATGAATTCTCATTTATTTTAAAGAACATGGTTATCTTATCTAGATAATCAGGGCAGGTTGTTTGAATTACATTTAGAAGATTGCTTCAGTTTTGTCTTGGTCTCTTTATAAACAAAGAGGAAAATGCTGGTTCTACTGAAAAAGAACAGAGGAAGGATTTTCAACAAATTCCATGAGACCAGGATTCTCTTACCAAGACAAAATTTCTGCTGAGTAGGAAGTGCCTGGGTTAGTAACTTTTCGTTGTCCTTCACTTTTCCAAAAGAACATTACAGACCCAACCTGAGAAGCTAATCTCGTATTAAGGTGCATCAATTTACTGAAAAGTTCTAATAAATAAGCAATTATGTTGACATGTTTTTTTTCTGTTTCGTGTTGCTTTCAGCCTCTTCCTTTTGGTACCTTTTAATTTGGTGAATTGTGTTGGTTTCTGCATCTGATGATAAGAAGCTGGTAAGAATAAATAGTATTTATTGTGAAGTTACCTGTTGAATATGCATATCCTAATGCCTGAAGCTGATAGATTTACTGGGGTATTTTACCTGTGTCAGTGGAATATGCTAAAATGCACAACTAATCAGGAAGAACTGAAACTTGAAGAATTTGTATGTCCTGGAACTTTTTCTCCACCAGATCATGCGCCTAAAATCTAGCTTTGTTTGGCCATAAAACTGCCAAACATCATCCAAGATGCCTGGTCACTTTAACAAACGATGTTTGTAGTCTTCATCACATTTCTAATAGGAACAGAATCAAAACCAAAGAAAACCATAACCTATGTTACCTTTGCTCCTCCAAAACTGACAACAGTCTTGAGCAATCTCAGTTGCTTTTCCAACTGTACAACAGACCAAACAGACTGAGCCAGTATGACATTGGGATAGGAGGCTGCAGGGATTTTCATGTAGCTGCATAGGCTTGCTTTGGGAATAAAAGCAACTCCATTCAGCCTGCCAGAAAATCCATTCCTCAGACTGCCATAAAATCTTATGCTTTCTCTTACAATAGGTAGGAAAAAACATCCAAGTTTTCCAGCATAAAGGTACATCAACTGTAAGGAAACATGTTTTTTTTGGAACTAAATGTGCAGTTACTTTGTAGGGCTTTTCAGCATTTGTGACTCGACAGCAAGGCTTTTGTACAAGTAAATCAGATGACAAGTTAGCTCTTTAGTCAAGAGAAAACAAATGCAAGAAAAGACATGTGATAAATGAATCAATTGAATTTCTCTTTCTTTATGAAATGTGTTTTAAGTACATTGGAGAATTTCATTTACTTACCATCAACCATAAAACTTTGCTATGAGGTAATTCTTGGAAAGTGTTCTTACAAGAGCAACATTCTTTTCCCCCCAAAGTATGCACACAAAAAATTGTTTCAAAAACAATTCCCAGCTAAATCATAATTCTCCTCAGTCAATCCCTGAGAGAAAGCTCAGTGCAACAGGTCATCAACAGCTACAGTGCTCCAGCAGTCCAGGTGGTGGGACTGTTGCCCATGAGAGCTTCTCAGGTAGAGCAAGGTGACAAATTATAACAACTTGGCAAACACCCAACACAAATAAACCACTGAAAGTTCATTACACCACAAAGAGCTGCTAAATGTCAAAGTTCTGAACTTCAAAATAACCTGTAATTGCCAAAACACATTTAGTTACACTGTATTAAATGTTACTAATATCAAGGGAAAACAAATGACAGACCTGGCACTGCTGCAAACTTTACATTGCAACGATATAAAATTCGCTAAAATCCATGCTGCACTCTAACTGCAAGAGGTAGAAGGAAAATAGCTTACAGAGTGCTACTTGGATTGCACTGTGTCTAGAAGTAGTACAAGGCCACTTTCAAAAGGCACTTTTCTCTCCATTCCCTCCCTGCCTCACAACATTTAGGGTCACAGTCTGTCAGATGTTTGTGCCCTAGGATCCACCATTGCCATCATCTCCCTGCCCCACTCTGGGATGAGCCCTACCAATGGTACTGCTAGTACCTGGTGTGCAGGATGACTGGAAACTGCAGATCTATAACAAAGGTTTAAGAAGATTCACCACATTAAAAAATTACAAGGGGCTCTGCAGAGTTTCTGTACCATTAACACTGTTTTCAGTTGTCCTTCAATCCGCAAAATTATTTGTGAATATACTCTATTTTAGCTTACAGTACATTTTAAAAATTAAAGGCATGAAGAAGACCCCACATATTAAGAGTTCAACTGCACTAATATACTGTGTAAAAGAGTAGGATACTGTGCTCTGAAAGTGATACACTGTCACAGGCACCATTAAATGATGTAATTAAAAAAACCACCCACAAACAAAAAACCACAACCAAAACCAACCCAATCAAGCAGTTAAAAAGTTGTTTCAGAGAGCAGCACTCACCTCTGTGTGTGGTTTTCCCTGGCCTGACTCTGAGGCACTTGCTGTGGGCTGCCCACTCCAGTACTGCCTTACACGGTCAATGAGGAGATGTTTCTCAGAGGAAGGAGGCACTGGAATCCCTTGTGCTGCCAAATACTTAAAAATTATTTCTCGATAAACTTTTCTGCGTCTCAAAAGTTCTTCTACATTTTGGCTGTAAACCAAAATGGCATGAATGGCTTCTGCAAATAAAGAAATTTAAGTTAGCAGTTGCTTCTCTCACAATTAAAACCCAAACCTATGCCATTTCATAAACTCCTGATCAGCACCTCCAAACACAGTACAAGACAAGGCAAATGAAATTAAGAGTCTGAAAAGTTTGTTTGCAAACTGAAATCTGAATTACATAGATACATATCAGAGACAGAAGATACCCAAATACTTGCAAATGTGCTTGAAAAATAGTGCTGAAGACTTTGATACCTTCTAATCCCTAATTCCTATATCAATGTCTGCTTGGAGCTTAGTATGTATTATTTATGAGTGATGAAAAAGATGCAACTTTTCTTCCAAATGAAATCACTCACATTCTTCAAGTATTTTTAAGTTGTTATCAAACTTCAAGTGTTTCAAGAAGCATAACAATTCCTGCACACAATGCATTTCACCTGTACTTCCTGAGCTACAGGCAGTCTTAACTTCATATTAAGTTCATTCAACATGAAATCATTCAGGGATTCCTGCTCCCTGTCACCATGCAGCAATGAACAAGAGCTGGGCTTAGTTTCACTCTCCACTTGAAAAGCTCTGGAATGTTTCAAATGAAGACATCCACCTGACTTCTTGGAAGCAAGATCACAGAGGGAAAGAAGAACCAGACAAATTTTTTATGGTTCCTCTGAATATGGTATGTGAATCTAACTTCCTGCATCAGTGGGTGATTTGGTCAAAGAACACACTGTTGTTTTGAAGAAAACGCAAGTTTTCAGACATTTCCTGTGAACAGAAAACTGACAGAAATGCAGACAGAGGTAACTGAGGTAATCTCCGATTCCTCGTGCAGTTCCTTGAACAAGATCTCTAGTACCAGAAGTTTGAAGTGTTTCAGACAACACACAGCAGTTCGTGAAAGTGAAGTTCCACCTAGGCTCCTGAAGACTGACAGCAACATAATTAAATCTGTTTTACTTCCAGGCTAATACAATTACTGCCCCCAGGTTCACCAGAAAACACCAGGCATCAGTGCACAATGTCAGTGCATTGAAATGCAGCATTAAAAAAAATTCAGCTACAAGGCTCTGTGGCAGAATCAGGAAACACAACAAACTTAAATTCACTTTTAAAGTAGTTGCAATGGACAGTTCTCACCTGCACTGATGTTGGTTCTTAACATGGGACCTATAAAAACTCTACAGCTAAAGAAACTAATAGATGAAGTAGAAAAAAGTAAATAAATCAAAATTAATGTAAACTACAACTACTGCCAAAATGAGATTAAAAAAGACAAGGAAAAAACCTACAGGCAAAAGACTTTTTTGAAGAAATGAGTTTGGCAAATCTTACAGGTCTGAGTTATATCACATGAAACCTAATCAAGGTTTTTGGATGAATACATTTCAGGGCAATATACTGAGCGACCTCAGTTAACTCACATAAAAAAAATAAGTTTCACGAAACAAATCTCAACAAAGCGATGGGGGATGGTCACAACTGAAAGTGTTCTGTTCTGCGAAGAGATAAGTTCAGTATTAGACTTGCGTTTTACCCTTTCAAATCCTGAAAGGCAATGCCACTAACACCGACGGCAAGAGAGCCTTCAATACGTTTTATACCACTAACAGGGCACAGCAGTGCACGGAGCTCCATGGAGGGGTGTGGGTCTAAGCGAGAAAAAGAAGCGTTTAAAATCTGAAAATCAGCTACAAGGCAGGAGGCACCGCAAGCTCCTCGGCCAAAACAGCTCTGGGCAGCGCAGCCCTGGTGCTGTAGAGCTGTGCAGACGCAGCGAACGGCTCCTATAAGCTCCCCCCGACCG